AAAAAAAAAAAGAAAGAAATAGTGGCCAAAATGTTTTGTCTTAATTGTGTTTGTAGATAAAGACTGTCTCATGGCAGCCATAAGAGGAAATTATTCTTTTACTGTATCATTTAAGATGAATTACACAAAAATTATTAGATCAGAACAGTCATTTACATTTGTGGCAAATAATTATCTGAATAGATTAACTTTTCAACTGGAAAAGTAAAGAAGGAAAAATAAACAAATGTTAGATTTGTGTTGGGTAGTGAATATCAAAATTGAATATTACAGTGATTTGTGTTACAGGGTCATTATGAATTAAAGTTTATCTAATTAAAACAGTATTATTTTGGCCAGGCGCAGTGGCTCACACCTGTAATCATAGCATTCTGGGAGGCCAAGGTGGGTGGATTGCCTGAGTTTAGGAGTTTGAGAGCAGCCTGAGCAAGAGTGAGACCCTGTCTCTACTAAAAATGAAAAACTGAGCCAACAGGATCACTTGAGCCCATGAGTTTAAGGTTGCCGTGAGGTACAACGCTGCAGCACTCTATTGAGGGCAACAAAGTGAGATTCAGTCTCAGTAAAAAAAAAAAAACAAAAAAAAACATGAGGGCAACAAAGTGAGACTCAGTCTCGGTAAAAAAACAAAACAAAACATACACAACAAAAGTATTATTTTACAGTTTTGATTTGATCTTTTGTAATAAAAGTAAATAAAACACCATGTAGTAATATATGCTATAAGTAGATTGCTCATTTTTATGTTGTAAAATATTTTGTATTATTCTTTAGCTTCAGAAGAACTGACAATTGCTGGCATGACTTTTACAACTTTTGATCTGGGTGGACACGTTCAAGGTAAGATTCTTCAAGTTGCTTTGTTTTAACTTAATGAAAATGTGACTATTATGTTCCAGTGCATAAAATTTCATTCTCTTGGCTCAGCACCTGTGACTCAAGTGGCTAAGGTGCCAGCCACATACACCTAAGGTGGAAGGTTTGAATCCAGCCCGGGCCTGCCAAACGACAATGACGGCTGCAACCAAAAAAAATAGCCAGGCATTGTAGCAGGCGCCTGTGATCCCAGCTACTTGGGAGGCAGAGGTAGGAGACTCGCTTAAGCCCAGGAGTTGGAGGTTGCTGTGAGCTGTGATGCCATAGCACTCTACCCAGGAGGACAGCTTGAGGCTCTGTCTCAAAAAAAAAAAACAACAACATTCTATTTAAGCAAGGCCAGAGTAGGCTTAAAATTTATATCTTCAGATAAAAGCTTTAAAAGCAAAAGGTGATTTTCTTGATACTGCTGGTCATCTTCTTTTTTTTGAGACAGAGTCTCATGCTGTCGCCCTGGGTAGAGTGTTGTGGCGTCATAGCTCACAGCAACCCCAAACTCTTTGGCTTAGGTGATTCTCTTGGCTTAGTGCCTGTGGCTCAAGTGGCTAAGGCGCCAGCCACATACACCTAAGGTGGCAG